AATTCATAAATATCCGAAATCAGTTTAAAATGATGGTTATCAATTATCATGTAAAAAAATAGAGACTTTGAACCCATTCTAGCTATATATATATATAATCAGGCAGAAAATTATAAATAGTTATAAATTTTCTAATTAAAATTTTGTTGTCCCTACAATGGCTTTTGTTTTCATTTTTCATTTGTTTCTACAATTTAAGGATAACCAAATCGAAAAAAGATTGGTTCTTTTTAATATCTCATCCTAAGTTATGTGAAGATGGAGCTACTCAAAGAATCCTCTTATCAGATGTTGTTGCAATGTCTTTATATTCTTTAATACTATTTATAATTCACACAAAAAAAAAAGATGAAAAAAACTAATACTTTCAAAGAACTCCGTAGTGGCTAATTAGTTGTAATTTTGGTTTTAGTGATGATTGCCGCCTATTTTAGAGATTTCATGTAGGGATGTACGTTTCGAAATTCAGTTTGCAATTTTAACGGTTCAGTGCGGGAACGATTTGTTCGGTATTCTAAAATTTGTATCAAATTAGTATCATATATTATTCAATTCGGTTCATTTTCGATACGGTTCAATTTTGGTTTTTATTAAAAAAAATATATTTCTTTTTAAAAAATATATTTTTAACACCAAATAGTTAATCTTTATTCAACTATATAATTTATCTTAATATCTAAGTATATTTGTTCATTTTATTTTATTTATCTTCGTTTGGTTAGTAAATTAAGATACTTTCTCAAAAAAAAAATATTACGATAACTCATCTTTCCAAATATAAATATTTTTCAATAATATCAGTACTATAAGGTTTTTTTGTTATTTATTATTTAGAAACTGAATATTTTCTTTGTTCATATAAAAACATAAATTAGAAGTGAATTGTTTTTATACAGGTTGTTAAACCAATATTATTGCGATAAAATAGAAGTGGATTGATTTCATGTGATTGTTAAATCAATATTATATAATCTTAGTTTTCAGTTTTTTTTATATAAAGAGTAAAAAAAGTAATATACATATATAGAGTATAATGGGGCAAATAAAAAAAATTATAAGAATATTATTTTATTTCACAAATTTGGTTAAATTAAATATAAATCTAAAAATTTTAAATACTTGTAAGATTATACAAATTTAACATTATATCAATATTTTATTGTGAAGTATTATTAATCTCAATCCATTATTATTTGATTTCTAACACCAACTTATGTATATAATTGTTTAAATTGTATTTGACGCACGCTACGACTACCACTTTTTTTTGCACCTCTCGGTTCAGAAAAAATAAAACTCTTTCATCGAATCGTAAATTTTTTTAAAAAATATTATTCTAATATTTTATATTTCAAACCTTATTTTTATATTATAACCTACGAAAATATATCTCTTTCAAAAAAAAACAACACTGTTATTTCGACATTTTCAAAAAAAATATTTATCATTTTGATATACGGATATGAATTATAAATTAAAAAATTAATATATTTAATATTAAAATTATAATAAATTATTTTAAAATTAATACGTATTTATAATCCGCGCGATGCGCGCGGGTTGTAATCTAGTATCCTTAAAAAGCATAGAGTTTTGAAAAAAAAAATAACAAAAGACATAATTAATGAGAGAAAAGTAATGTAACACCATTTTCTCACTTACTTAGTCATTTTGAATTATCTCTCTCGTTCTTATATTTTGATAACTCTTCATTTCTTTGTTAACTTTCTCTCTCCACTCTTATTTTTCTCTCAACTCTTCCATTTTCTCCCTTCTCATTTCATTTTTACGCATAAAAAATCAAACGAAAAATGATTATTTCGTTGAACATATCTTCACTGACGACCTCATATCTTCTTCTTGGGTTTGAATTTTATGATTTTTAAAGTGAATGTGTGGATGAGACATATGCATAGCAAATTTGTCCAATAATATACAAGAGGCGTATATTTAATTTCAAATAAATGTTCGGAGCGATAATGGAACGGATTGACAACGAAAACAAAGGTACGTCACATTGGTTACACCGTGTAAAAATTAATTTTGATCACATAGGTCACATTGGTCACATTGGTCACACTAGTCACACTGGTCACACTAGTCAGCCTAGTCACACCGTTCAAAATTTAGTTTTGGTCACACTAGTCAAATTGGTCACACTAGTCACACTGGTCACACTAGTCACATTGATCACACTGTTCAAGATTTAAATTCTGATCATATTGATCGCACTGGTCACACGAGTCATATTGATCGCATAGGTCATACAACTTAATATTAAACTTTGTTCACTTGGTCACATTGGTCACATCGAAAATTTTTAAAATTTACGCGAAAAATTTTATTTTTTTGTGATGGAAGGAGTTTTAAAAATTTTAAAATATTTAAATTTTATTCTAGGAAACCGAAAACTTTTTTTCTGTCTCTTCTCATTAATGTTTCTGTTATTGGGACCCATGCCAATGGATATTATGGGAATAATATAATTATAAAGGTATGTTTTGAAGTAGTTTTTTTTTTTAATTTTTGTAGGGGTATGCTGTGAAGTTTTCGTAGCATAATAGAGATATTTTTTATAAAAGCCATTGTTTATGGACTACAAAAAAATTGAAATAAATATACAAATTGAAAATTTTCAAATCAATATATAAATCTTTTAAATTTTTATATTAAATTTTTAATTTTTGAAAAACAAAAAAAATAAATTATGATTTTTTTTAAAATTCTTTAAACTGTCATAAAATTAAATTCTAAATTTTTAAACCACTTTTAAATATAATCAGATGATATTTGAAAAATATTTAAAATTTTAAACTTTAATATAAAAATTAAAGCGTTCGTATGTTGGAAAACTAATAGTTCATACATTTGTTTAGAATTTTTTTATAAGTTCATATATTAATATAAGATTTTTTCTTAACTTTTGGTATTAATTTTTGTTTTGGTTCTTTTATTTGGTTTTTATTTTTAAAAAATCCATCCGTTATTCTATTTTATTTTTGCAAACTTTAATTTTTTTTTGTTTTGGTATGACTTATTTATTAGGTTTAGCTCTTTAAATTGATAAATTTTATTTAATTATTAACTTCAATTCAAAATTTTGGATTCTAACCTGTATATATTTTTTAATCTAATAGTAACATTATGGAGAGGGGGAGGGGGAGGGGGGTTTCCCATTTTTGCGTTATGCTAGGCTGTGTTTGCACAAATATATCTTTTGGTGCAGCCTTTGTGGATACACTACAAGAAAATCTTTAAATAGCGACGGAATTTGCGACAGAATTCGACGGTTTTACGGCGGAATGGGAAAATTTTTATTCCGTCGCAATTAGTCACAAAATCCGTCGCAAATTTATGACGGAATACGACGGAAATGTTGTCATCGTAAAACCAAACATTATTTGCGACAGAAATTTTAAATCTGCAGAATTTGCGACAGGTCGCAAATCATAATTTCATTTTTTTCATTATTTTCGATGAAAATTTTCAAATTTTCGCGGTTTATTTTTCGTTTTGCGACGGATTTGCGACAGAAATTTCTGTCGCAAATCTAAATTTTATTTTTTTTCGCTATTTTCGATGAAAATTTTTAAATTTTCGCGGTTTATTTTTCGTTTTGCGACGGATTGCGACGGCACTATCCGTCACAACACTTAATAAAAGCTGCGACTTCGTCTTTCTCCTCCAGACTTCGAAATTTTTTTAAAAAAAATCTCAATCTTCTCTAATATTCTCCAACAAATTGTTTTTCTTCAAAATTTGCCAAGGTATGTGTATATATACCATGTATATAGATTTGTATATGTATGTGTTGTGTATATATATATGTGAATATGTGTATGTGTATGTGTGTATGTATATGTGTATGCGAATGTGTATGTGTTTATGTATGTATATGTATGTGTGTGTTTATGTATGTGTGTTGTGTATGTATGTGAATGTGAATATGAATGTGAATGTGAATGTGTATGCATATATATAAATGTGTATGTGTGTTTATGTGATGTGTATGTGAATATATATATATATATATATATATATGTATGTGTATGTGTGTATGTGTGTATGTGAATATGTATGAATGTGTGTTTATGTGTGTTTATGTGTATGTGTATATATATGTATGTGTATGTAGATTTATATGTATATATATGTATGAATGTGTGTTTATGTATGTGTGTGTATATGTATATATGTGTGTATGTACATGTATATGTGTATGTATATATATGTATATAAATTTATGTGTATATGTATAATTATGGGTATATGTGTAATATATATGTATGTGAATATATGTATATGTGTGTATATGTATATTATATTATTTTTTTTAATTTAAAAAAATATTTGCGACGGATTTTGTCCGTCGCAAAACGTAGATTTTGTTATTTTTTTAAAAAAAAGTATTTGCGACGGATTTTTCTGTCGCAAATCCGTCGCAAACCGCAGATTTTGTCCGTCGCAAGTTTACAACGAATTAACAACCGAAAAATTTTTACGACAACGACCTACGAACGGAAATTATTCCGTCGCTTTCTGTCGCAAATTTGTAATTGCGACGGATTTTATTTATGTTTGCGACGGATTTTTCCGTCGTAAATTGGGATGTTTTTTGTAGTGATAGGTTAAAATGCAATTATGATTCCATAATTCATATCAAATAGCTAAAAGGTTTTATAAATTTTCCTTTGTGTATGACACCTAATATTTTATAGACATTTTTTTTTCACTTACCATGTTGTTCCACTTGGAGATAATTTCATTGAAATTCCACGGTAACACGCATCATTATCATTGACATTAAGCATAACCCAAGTAAAATTATTTTCATTCTTTTTACCAAAGAAAAAAATTATTTTCATTCTCCAATGTCTAAGTTTCTTTTATGATATGTTTATTTAAAATATTTTCATTTATATGTCTTTTTTTTCGTTTTGAATATATAAATATGCGTATATGAAATAGTAATTAAATTAGAAGAGAGAAAAGGTAAAAAATAATAAAAGTGCTCGATTTTACCTTTTCATAGAGTGAACTAAACAGCTGATTTTAGTATATAGTTCTCATAAAATCATGTTACGTACTTTGCTATTCACTCGAGCTTCACCCAAACACCGGAGCTAGGCACACCGGCGTGAACCACGAACATCATATAATAGCCAGGTGGTGCAATCTCAGCCGTCGATGGCCCGAACGCCGTGATCCAGTAGGGTCCGGACTCGTGATGAGCCACTTCATGTAATCTTAGAACCACCATCCTCTGGTTCATCGCGAACGAATGTGTCGTGAACGATGGCGAGATTATCCTCACAGATAGCCGATCGAGCGAAATGAACTCTTGTATAGAGAAACATAGGATGTTTAGCCTCTCGTAGTTTAGTATTTTGTCGTAGTTTAGTATCTTCGGTCTGAAGGGATCGTAGATCGAAGAAATGTACGGTGGAGAATACACTTCGAGGCTTAAGTCAGTGGGGTATTCGACGTTCGTGAAGTTGTAGTAAATGTGTGGATTGCTTCCTCCGACAAGGATACGGCCATCGGATAATAATATGGCCGAGGAATGGTACATCCTCGGACGTGCGGACGTGGACATCACCGAGAAACGATGATCGTACGGTCGATATATGATGGGTCGGGTTACCGGGTCATGCGCGTTTTCCCAGCCGGCCGTACCGGATGCCGCACCGTTGACGATGATGACGTCGCCTGTCGGTAAGAGCAGCATGTCAGACATGACACGTGGCAGAGGCATGGTCTCCATTTGCCAACTAGGGTTTTCATCGGTTAACCTCATCCTTCCGCACGTGGATACGGCACGTGCGAATGTTTGTTGTTTGTTTGCTTTTGTGAATGAGCCCTTGGGGGCTCCTCCACATACCATTACCTCGACTTCGATGCTCTTATTAGGGTTATATGTTTCTTGCAGTGGAAGTAATATCGACGATCCACTGCTCGGGTAATTCCTCGGATCACCACCGGGGATTTCCGGATACTCTTTCGTGATCTTGTTTCTTCTGTAGTCGAACAATATCGATCTTGTGTTAGCGAATACGAATAGGTTTCCATCTGGTAACAGATGTACAAAAGGGTACAAGTTGTTCTCATTGCTTCCATCCGAGGTTTCTCTCAGAAAATCGAATCTGAATCCTCGGATATTGGATTGAACTCGGGGAAAAAACTCGAAATTGAACTGCCTTCTCCCGCCAACAACTATTATTCGCCCGTCCGGAAGAATCTGGTTAGTGGCATACCATCTCCGATTAGCTAAATACCGAGGAAACTCAATCCAATCACAAGTTTCTCCGTACCCGCAAGGCGTGAACATGCGCATGACACGTTCACCGTCGTTGTATCCACCGGTTTGAACCAACGTTCCATTCGGTAGAACCGAACCAGACGAACACCAAGTGTCGGTTTGGACTTTCAAGGGCCGGTATGTGTTCGAGACGACATCGTAGATAACTGAGTGAGCCGTACAGTCAAACTTCACGGCCGTATCGTAGGGATCGTACCGACACAAACCGCCGGGTAAGGAGATGTTGGACGTACCGAAATCGGTACGGTCGAACATGATGACCATGTCGTTATGGAGAAGCTGCATGTGCATGGCAGATATACCTATGTTCGATTGAAGTAGCTGCCATCGATCGAGCTTTGTAGGATAAGGAATGGGTTGAGATTCGGACAAGAACATGAAAGAGATGCTGATGATGATGATGATGGTGATGATGAAGAAGAAGCTTTTGTTGGCGAAGATCATCGTGGTGGGTGTAATCTTGGTCGATGCTCTCTGGGAAGATTTGAGTGTAATTTTGAATTAAGTTTAAGTTTGTTGGTCGTTGTGAAGTGTTTGGTTAGAGGAAGATAGAGTTATATAAGCCTGTCTCCAAAAGATATATATATATATATACATATATATATATATATATATAAATTATTTGATAACTAAAGATTCGACTTTTAAAGAGTAATAAAAATATTTATGATATTTTTATTTTTATTTGGATATAGCGTTTTGGAATTTCATATTCATTTTTGCCATGAAGCCTTTTCTAAAGTTTGAGAATTCTACGATTTTGATATATTGGAACGAATAAGTTTCTTAATCGGTAATTTTATAATATGGTCAACTCAACTGTTTGTGTAAATCGTTTTAATAAATATTATATGTAGCGAAACTAATTTCATGTAAGATTATTTGTGATATTTAAAATAGAAATTGTGGTGATGGGAGTAAATTAGTCTTTGAAAGCACCGTCATATTTGGCTAATTATGAGGCTTCACTTCTTGCGTGTGGACAGAAATCCAAGAACTATGACGAGTGGTTCTTGATATCAGTTGAATCTCCGCGCGAGCTTCTCTCCCACTCGGTGGCTTACTAGGCATGTTTATGTTAGTTTGCAGCATTACAAAACAAGAATGAGAATTTAAAATGAAAGTGCTCGCAAGTGGTATAAAAGGGACATGACCCAAACAGTTTGAGAAAGAACATAATCTAGACGTCTAGACCTAGATTTGTAATAAATCAAAGGTTAAGTATAAACTCTAGCCACCTTAGAAACCCTAACACGTAAGAGAGAATGAGTTATCTGGTCCTAGTAGACCCGATCCAACAATTGGATTTCAGTCCACCGAGTGTATAACGGTAGTGATGTTGGCAACATTCAATTATGATGAGAACATCCTAAGGACACGTTTAGTGATGTCAAATTGGGTTGGGTTTAGTGGGTTAACCCAACCCAACCCAATTATAACCATATTTGGGTCTAACTATTTGGTCCTTTTTATATAATAGGTTTAGTGGGTTGTAACCCATTAAACCATGGATTTAATAAATAAGCCCAACTAGTCCAATTAGCTCATTTAGTCATTTTTAACCTAACCCAACCCAATTATAAATTTTTAGATTTATATTTAATTTAACCAAATTTGTGAAATAAAATAATATTCTTATGACTTTTTTATTTGCCCCATTATACTCTATATATGTATATTACTTTTTTTTACTCTTTATATAAAAAAAACTGAAAACTAAGATTATATAATATTGATTTAACAATCACATGAAATCAATCCACTTCTATTTTATCGCAATAATATTGATTTAACAACCTGTATAAAATCAATTCACTTCTAATTTATGTTTTTATATGAACAAAGAAAATATTCAGTCTCCAAATAATAAATAACAAAAAAACCTTATAGTACTGAGATTATTGAAAAATATTTATATTTGGAAAGATGAGTTATCGTAATATTTTTTTTTCTGAGAAAGTATCTTAATTTACTAACCAAACAAAGATAAATAAAATAAAATGAACAAATATACTTAGATATTAAGATAAATTATATAGTTGAATAAAGATTAACTATTTGGTGTTAAAAATATATTTTTTAAAAAGAAATCTATTTTTTTTAATAAAAACCAAAATCGAACCGTATCGAAAGCGAACCGAATTGAATAATATATGATGCTAATTTGATACAAATTTTAGAATATCGAACAAATCGTTCCCGCACTTAACCGTTAAAATTGCAAACTGAATTTCGAAACGTACATCCCTACATGAAATCTCTAAAATAGGCGGCAATCATCACTAAAACTAAATTACAACCAATTAGCCACTACGGAGTTCTTTGAAAGTATTAGTTTTTTTCATCTTAATTTTTTTTGTGTGTGAATTATAAATAGTATTAAAGAATATAAAGCCATTGCAACAGCAGCTGATAAGAGGATTCTTTGAGTAGCTTCATCTTCACATAACTTAGGATGAGATATTAAAAAGAACCAATCTTTTTTCGATTTGGTTATCTTTAAATTGTAGAAACAAATGAAAAATGAAAACAAAAGCCATTATAGGGACAACAAAATTTTAATTAGAAAATTTATAACTATTTATAATTTTCCGCTTGATTATATATATATAGCTAGAATGGGTTCAAAGTCTCTATTTTTTTACATGATAATTGATAACCATCATTTTAAACTGATTTCGGATATTTATGAATTTTCATTCTCATTATATCATACATTAAATCATTTGATACGGATTATAAAATTTTTTTATTTAAAAATATAAAAAGAGAAAAATGAATGAAAATTACTGAAAAGGAGAGTTTTTTGGATAGAAGGCCATTTATAACTCATTGTTTTGGTTTTACAGATGTTTATCCATTAGTTATAGTCTTGTCTATCCATTTTTGCTTTTATGTTTGAACAAAAAAAAAACGAAGTCTTCCACAATTTGATTTTTCAAATTACTTTTACACAAAAACTAAACTGAAAAAATGAAAATTATATTTGTACCACCAATATTTTCGAGGCGATAGACGTATGATGCTAGATGGGGATTGAAATTGTAGAGCTTGGTCTTTCGAGTGAGTTTGACATTCGTCAATGAAAATCAATTTTTTTCCTTCCTTACATATTTGATGCCATTCGCCATTGGGGTTTGATTAGGGTTTTGAGTTCACAAATGCCAAATACATATCACATGCCTTAACATGTATTTTGTTCGACATGTAAAACGAATTAGACATTAAATGAAAATTTTGTAATAATTTCATAAAAGTGACCATTCACAATACGCATAAGATTCTTTAAGACTTAGTTGAGGGGCACATATCGTGGAATTGGAAATAATGACTACGTTAAATCGATTGAATAAATAATAAATAAAATAAATGAATAAATAAAATTTAAAAATAAATAATAAAATTTATATGTGTATATATATATGGAATATCATTTATAATTTTATAGTTTTCTTAAGTTAAAAGACATTGATTTGTAGATTTAGTTGGTAGGTAGAACTCCACTTTTGAGATTTAACATGTAAATCATTATGTCGAAGATTGTAAAGACGGGTGTAAGGTTGAAGGAGAATTTTTGTAACTTAAAAGTCTACTATACAGATACATTATTTAAAAGAATATCATTTATAATTTACAAATATATTTATTGAATAAATACAACAAAATATAGAATATAAATGTGTAGAATTCTACGTAACTAAAGACATAAAGAAATAGATAAATATACAAGATAAAGGTGTACGCCAGATTTCTAATATGAACCTGAAGAGTATTAGAGGTATATCCCGTATGTGATAACCATCACAAATATCCTGCACACACAAATCTAAACACAATTAAATCCATCTCCAAAATTTGATACGACATTTATGAACTCAACGCTAACCAAACCCGAATGGTATCAAATGCGTAAGAAAAAAAGAATCTAATTTCCATTGATGAAGGTCAAATTTGCTGGGCAGACTAAGCTCTACAATACCGATCTCATCGTCTAGAATCATATGGCTATCACCTCGACCGTCCAGTGTGGAACGCGAACACGATGCGATTCATTCGTCGAAATAGTGATACAAAGCTTATATGGACGTCGAAAAGAGCATGAATTTAATTTTACAAAATAATCAGTGAAGATCATTGAACATGTTCATTAATGTCCATAATTCCCACTAATTGAAAAATGATTATTCATTTGACCTAATAGAAAATTGAATAATAATTTAATTTTACAAAATAATCAGTGTAGAGGATAAATTCGCTGATGAATTGTAAATGAAGGATTATGAATTCGCTGAGGTGAGTAGTCATTAAAATACACAATCAAAAAAATTCAGAGACACATGTCACTCCCTAGTTAACCCACTCTACTTTTATATACGATGATAGTCTTTGTAGCAAATAAGGTTAGTTTAGCTCTACTATCCGATTAAATTGGCAATTTTATCCATTATTTGTTTATTTATTGATTGGATTTACTCCATTCCCGCTCCTCGGTAAAAGTGAAGACCAGTTAAAAAGCGTCTTTCCTCTCAGTGCAGCTCGTTCGGAGCCAGACTTCTCCTGGCCGGAGATTCATATTTTACGGTGGATTCTTCACCGGAAACGGTACGGAATTTCTGCTTCGGGAGGGAAAAGTTAAAGGGGAGGCTCTTTTACTGGTTTCTTCGCTTTTTTTCCCGCAAGAGAAGTCGTACGCTGTCTCCGGTGAACAATCCGCCGGTAAACCAGAGAATTTCTGGAAACAAGGAAAAGTCCGAAGTGCGACAGTTGCAAAAGATGAAGTTGCTCCGTATACGACATACTTCTTCCTCCGACGCGGTGGCTGTGACGGTTGCTTCTTCGGAGGAAGCCGAAAGGGAAGAGGAGAATGCGAAGGGTTTGGGATCGAGCAAACGGGTCTTCGGCGAGGAAATCATCATCTTGAAGGTAGTGAGACACGAACCGAATTCTGATTCTGGTGCTTCATTAGAATTCTTTGAAACTGTAAGTCTCGAGGAGTCTCAAGCCGAGAGCGACACTGACTCTTCAGCGGGTGATTGATAATTAGGGTGCATGACTGTAGAGTTTTTGAATTGTCTGTAGAGGTTTGGGGCAAATCTCCACACGATAATGATGCATGGTTTAGCAGGGAAGAAGCGGAGCACCGTAAGAGCAACAGTGGGGAAATTGCTGTGCTCGATACAGTAGTTAAGGAACAATGCCGAGCCAGAATCCTGAAGAGCCTAAGAATGCATCCGAAGATTGTGGGAAACCCAGAACGAGGTGACTGCCATGAACCAAGAACATGAAGTGGCAAATCTTATAATCAGAATCCACTGTTTTGTTAATGAGTGCTCTTCTCTCGCTTCAGGAATTGAGCAACATTTATTACTTGTGTTCTTGAGAAACCCGTGTTTCTTTATTTTTTTTTTTTTTTTTTTTTTTTTTTTTTTGCAGAATCATGTCCTCAAAATTCGGCTCCTCACCCTTAAAGCCTGCATACCTCCAGGTACTCTATGAATTTCAACTCCAATATGTAATCTGATACAGCCTTTGATTCTCAGACATAGTTGGATATGCATATAACCTGCAAGTAGTTGGATCATTAAAATTGTTGGAATGATCATATGCTCCTTCAGAGTATGTCTATTGCATGCCTTCGGTTGTGTCTGATCACTTTTGCGCTCCTTTCCATCTCTTGAACAATTTCATATCCTTCATTTTATCAGAGGTTGTGATTTGGAAACCATAGATATGGACTGTGCGAATACCAGAGTCCAATTCCAAATTAGTTCTTGTGGTTGAAAACTCGAAAATCAGATGTGGAATACACCCTTCTGGAATATTATTTTTTCAAAAAAAATTTCACCGGGTGTTTTGACATAACCTCACTCATTTCGTCTGTTGTGGCAGCTATATTGGTACTTGAAAAGGCTTGAACCACACACACACACAGAGCAAAACTTGGAAACAAATGAAGGAAAGAATAGCAAAAAGGTAGGAGAGGGAGTCACGGGATAAAGCAAGCTCCCTCAGCTTTTTTTGCTTCCTTCACCAGTTTCCCTTTTTTTTCTTCTTTACATGACAAATAAACAAAGTTTGATCAACCATCTCTTGTGATGAAAATGCCAGCAACCCTCATGCAAATATATGTGTTTGTGGCTTAGTTGATTTCGGTTGTCATTTTCCTTACACCACCACCCCTCCAGAGAACACTTTCTCACTTATTTTCTGGGTGGTGTTCTCTATATAACTTCATGACCCCTTGTGGACATTCATCTGGAGAATCACTTTGAAAGATGAATCCTTCTGCAGATGAATCGTCCAGTCCCCCGAACCTCCCTTTACTTCTCCAGCCTTCTTATGCTAGATCAAAATCAATGCTTTTCGATGATCTACGCAACTTTCGTGTAAGCCTCAAGTGGTGTGCCCTTGATCACTCTTCCCCCTGGGGGAAAATCTTATCCTATTTTACCTTCGTGGTCTTTACTATACTTGTTCCCCTCGTAAGCTGTTTGTCCATAGAAACTCCTAACTCATTATCTTCCCCGGTTGAGGACCCCATCTCCTTTAACGCACTTGTCCAATTCCCCGAGTCTGGACTGGCCACCGTCGGGTTTTTCACTCTAATCTGTTTCTTTAGGAAATATGGTCTCAGACAGCTACTGTTTCTTGACGGATTAGGCGATGATTCTGTCTTTGTGAGGCGTGGATACTCCCGTGAGCTTGACAAGGCCTTCCGTTATGTGGCTGCCATACTTTTACCATCTTTCTTTGTGGAACTCGTGCACAAGAGCATATTTTTCTCCTCAACAAAAGTATCATTTCCTTTCATGAAGTCGTCTTGTCTTCCATTGAACTCCGTTATGTTCTTCCTTGTCTTAGTTTCATGGGTTTACCGAACAGGAGTCTTCTTGCTTGTATGTATTCTGTTCCGGTTGACTTGTGAGCTTCAGATACTGAGGTTTGTAGGGCTGCACAAGATGTTTGATGGATGCGGTTCGGACACGATAGAAGATATATATAAGGAACATACCCGGATTAAGAAGCAGTTGTCGGCTACAAGTCACAGGTACAGGTTTTTCATCATCGCTTCCTCTGTCGTGATCAGTGCCAGCCAATTTGTGGCCTTATTGTTGGTTCTAGCCTCGAAATCAGAGAAGAGCTTCCTCAATTCCGGAGATCTAGTGGTAATTCTCCGTTCCACACACTCTTACGCTGCTTTCAACTGGGTTACCGGACTGAATTTGCTGCACATACGTGTTGATGTAGGTATGCTCGGCAGTTCAGCTGAGCGGATTCTTCTTGTGCTTATTGGGGGCTGTGAGAATCACACACCGAGCTCAAGGAGTTGTAAGCATCGCAACGAGGTGGCACATGACTCTCACGTTGGCTTCTTCGGCTTCTTTGGACTCAGATGGGCGTAAAATCCAGGACGGTATGCCCGAGTCTCAAGCCGAGAGCGACACTGACTCTTCAGACAACATATGCATCACAGTTTCATCGTCTCTGGATCCGACTTCCTTCTTCCAAGCTCGACAAGCTCTAGGTAAGTACCCGTTTGATTCGGTTCATGTTGATCTCCATTCTTTAGAAAAAGGAACATCCGAAGTTATGGAGACTTGAAAATGAATGCAGTGGAATACCTTCGACACAACAACAAGGGGATTACGCTCTACGGTTACACACTTGATCGAGGATTGCTTCACACGCTTTTCGCGTTCGAGTTCTCGTTGGTGATGTGGATTCTTAGCAAGGTTGTCGTCCTGTCTTAGCAGAGACATTTATGATCAAGAACTGAAAGATGTAAGAGGCTCTTCACCTTGTAGGACAGACGTTTGCATCAAAGGCTTTGATACGTTTAGCTTATGATGGTAGAGCATAAACACACTGTTAAACTCCCGGTATATGAACGGTGAAAATGCCAATAAATTCAGTTGTAAGTTGTTAATTTTCTTGACATTTGAATAAAATACCAACTATAATATAAGCTCCACGACCACTATGAGAAAGGGTAGAGGCTTGGTGTTTCCAAATACAGACATTAGTTGTCACATCAAGTGAAGTTATCGTGCTCTATGAAATGAGTGGTGAATGTGTATGAGATCATTGATTCAACACATTTACAAGACTAGTGAATTAGCCATCGACGAGGCTCCAATAATATTATTTTAAGATAATATTGTATGCGTTTTACAAACTAAAGACGAATACATTAAAATTAAAAATGACGAGACAAAATGTATTCATCTGAAATTTTTCGCATACACCTAAGAATTTGAAAGTAATAAAGATATTGAAATCGGATATGTACAATTATATGGCAATGTAACAAACCTACTTACAAAGGTTCTACCGACAATAATATTCAAAAAATATGTACACAACATTGAGATGCATTGTCTATGAGACCTTTGATATCTTGTATAAGGGTAGCGTGAAACTGTATTTTTTTTTTTTTAGGTTTTACTGATAAGGTTTTTTACGAGATAATAGCAAAACATGCGATTATATTTTTTTTTTCTACAAATTTTCTAGACGGGTGGTTCCAAATCAGAGATAAATCATGTATAGTCTATCGTTACTGTGCAAAATTTTAATTTCATATGGTGAAACTAATTTACTGTGCATTGCATAACAAATGTATAATAACTTCAGTTTCTCTATAAAATAGAACATTCGCTATTGTAGATTTTACAACCAAAAACGGAAGAAAGAAATCAACAAAAGAATTTTTTGTTTTCAATACTTCTCTATTCTCAACAAAAATCAGTATTTATTATAAAAATTTTGATAATGTTGGGTATTTTTTTAAAATTCTCCTTAAAGATACTAACCAAACCAAATAAAAATGTGAATACAAAAAAATAAGCCACCAATTTAGAAACAAACAAAAAAGAATTGCCTGGGAAAAAAAATAGGTATATTTCATCTTTGAATTTTTTGTTTTATAATATTTAGACTCCAATTTCTTTCTACAAATATATATATATATATATATATATTTTGTTATTTACTAGTTGCATATGTTTCTTTTCAAATTGTGATTTTCGTACTAATATGTTGGATTCAACAACTCTTTTCATACTGCCCATTAACAAGGTTGGCAATGAACCAAAAAAAACGGGAACGCAAAATTTTCATTTAAAAAAATCAGTTGATATTACATTATATTTCCAATAGGCACATTTTGTCAAACTACTATACTTTAATTAGTATATATATACGTATGTATGTATGTCGCACTGAAATAATTTTGTACATCCACACAATATTATATTTATAGATAATTGCGTTATATATATATTAAAATGTTGCTTATCAGTAGAGTTAAAAAAAACCTCTGTTAGGTCGTACCTTCCGTTCTTAGAGAGGAAATATAAAAACAAGTTTATTCTCCAAGTTGTCAAACTACGAATACACAAAGGTAGATAGATTACAGAACTCCATCTAGCGGTAAGGGTAGGAAGAGGAGTACCGAGACGATGGGACGGAGGAAGGTGGAAGCGGAGGATCAGGGGCTGCGTACCTCCGGGTTCGGTAGTACTCGGCCAATGAATCCGCCGTTACATATCGAAGATAAAGTGCGTCGTCTCTTCCCGGAGGAGGATATGCCCGGGATGGTCTTTCCGCCACAGGAGAACGGTATTCGTAACCGTGGTATGGGTCTCGGGATGAGTAGGAGTCCGGAGCCGGAGCGACTGTATTGGTCGGGTTCTGCGGAGGTGGAACAAGGAGTTCACGTCGGGTGAGGTAGTCTCGTTCGGGTAAATACAGAGGAGGGTCGGGGTAATGAGCTTCTCTATGACGATGCATTTCAAAGTCGGGATGCCTTGAGAGACGGTCACGCTCCAAGTCGGGATGGTAAGAACCTGCAGGGGGAGGGATCGGGTAATGTTGCTGCTGCTGGCTAGTCTGTTCTCTTCTCAACCCATATGCTCGGTACTCTCTCTCAGTGAGATATAAGTCACGTCGTGGTTCTTCTCGGCGTGGAGGTGAAGCACGAATCCCTTCATGTCTGCGGGTTGAGCGACTTCTGCTGCTGCTAGAAGCATAGCGTTCTATATTTTCAGATCGTTTTCCGTCAGTATCAAGGTGCCGAGTGTGGGGAAGTTGTATGGTTGAAGGGACCGGAGCTGGGCGGAAAAGCTTCCTGAGATTGAATACCTGTTCAAAACAACGGAGATTAGACGCAATTGTTAAATACAGATCTGAGAAGAATGAAAAGGCATTAGGGGTTTACCTGCTTAGGAGTCAACTCTGTTTTGAACTTGTTGTTGTTGTTGTAATTCTCCTTTATGGCTTTCCGGAATACACTTTCGGGTAATGGTTCGCAATCTTTTAAAACCTTAAACCGCACCTGCAATGGCAGAGAAGATCAAGAAAAAAACCAGAGGAAGGAATAAAAGAGGGATCATATATCATATAATAGTGCAAATTGTTAGGTCAGGAAATGGATTTGGAAGATCAAACATCGTTGAAATCCAAGTAACCTGGGCAGGAAAGGATCCACCAAAGGCTTTACGCTCAAGTTTCAGTCCACCCACTGAGGAAGCTTGGAAAATTCCATAAAGAAGCTTAAGACCATAATCATAGAGAAAAAGCTTCAGCCCAGGTTTGATACCCATGACAATATCCTTCTTTTGTTCCGATACACCCATCACAGAGAAGCGAAAACAATCGGGTTTGGTTTTTGCATTGCACATGAAGATCAACCCACCGAGCTTTGCTTTCTTGCTCCCACTTGTTTCTTTCTTCTCGGAGACATCCGGTTTTTCTTTACCTTCCTCTGTTCCTTGCTTTACCGCATCAGTAGAAGCAAGTTCATTCTTACTTTTCTTGTTTGCACGTCCTCCCCGTTTTACTCGTTTCCGCTTTTTTTGTTTGTCAGCCTCAGTCAAATCAGTTTTGTCCAGAGCTGACTTGTCCTGCTTATTCTTTTCAACGACACTCTCCTTCTGGCCTCCTTCACCGGTTGGAGAATTCAATTTCTCAACACTACTACCTTGTCCGCTTCCATTTAACGAATTGTTCTTTTTTCCTTGATCATTCTCCAGAAAGCGAGGACTGTCATTACCAATTTTGGGTTTAACAGTCTGCATTGCTGCTTTCGCCTTGGGCCCTTTTAAGGGTTTCTTCTCTGCTGACTTCGTACCTTCAGGGGCTTCGACAGAGCCTTCTATAACCTTCTCAACTGCCTTCTCATCTCCTCTAGGCGAAGCTTCTGCATCTTTCTTTTCCTTATTGGTATCTGTCGTTACCATATCCAGATTCATGTCTTCCTTAGTTACATGTAACAGAGTCTCACCCTCCTTGTGCCCTCCTTGAGAAGGTGAAGTGCCTTTAATGTTTTTTCCCTTTCGTAACCTCTTTAGACGAGGCTGCACGGGTTTAGTCACTTTCTTTAACCCCTTTGGGGTTTTCCTTTCAGAATATTTTGCTTCTGCAACTTTTTCATCTTCTGCAGAAGGTTGAGGGGCTTCAGCAGCATTCTCTAAAACCTTCACATTTCCCCAAAGTGAAGGTTCTGCATCTTTTCCGTCTTCTGCACAATGCTGAGAATCTTCTGCTGAACCCT